GGTCCCCAAAATCTTTTTCAAAATATAATAAAATACAATAAAATAAAATAAAAGAACAATAAAAAAGATTAGGTCCCCAAAATCTTTTTCAAAATATAATAAAATATAAAATATAATAAAATATAATAAAATACAATAAAATAAAATAAAAGAACAATAAAAAGGATTAGACCCAAAAAAGGATTAGACCCAAAAAAGGATTAGGCCTAAAATCCTTTTCAAAAGAATACCGCTCTTTTGTTTATGCTTGTCATTAACGTGACCCCCCCCAACCCCCGCGTGACGTCATACCCCCGCTCCGCTGAGATCCCCTCGCACCTCCCTCAGAGGACCTGGGTTAGAACCGGCCTACTACATCTACTTATAACATTTGTGACTGCGTGACTCGAGTCCATTTCGCTCCGCTCTGTCACACACCGCACAAAATTTGTTGCGGATATCAATAAAGAGAACTTTTTTTGTGCGGTAACCAATTATGGCACCAACACCGGAAAGTGAATCGTAAGCGTTGCCGTACGACCTCTTCATCCAACTACCATCCGCTACAACGGTTATGTATGGAATGCCATTTATAGTTTCATTCCTTTCGAGGGCGAGTTGTTTTTCTACTTCGCCTGCCATTTTCATACTTTCTGTAGCTGTTTTTTGAAAATCAACGACTAGATTTTCGCGATGTTTTATATAAGTCTTTTCAGACATGCAAGGAATATTTATACCTGCACAGAACTCTTCCAGTTGGGCATAACCATTTCCAACTGTTATAGTTGTAGCTACAGCAGCTTGGTTGAGATCCAACTTTTCAGGTTCTCTGGATTCTGACCATATATTATCTTCATAGTTGCACATTTGACATTTGAAGAAATATTGTGTCATCAACCCTTCACGATGAGATTTTATGAGTTTCCAATCTTTAAATTGGCACTCTATTCCTCGTGCATGATTATTAAATGTTCTGTGTATCTCTGTCCATATAAAAGAGAAATCGACAATACTGCGGCCTTTGGGCATGCATTCTTGGATACGATTTGTTTCTAAAAAGCCTTTATTATCGATAACGAGATTTTCGTTATCTTCGCTATGTACAACTTTTTCTATATACATACCTGGTACGTTGCTTTTTATATCTTCGTATTGCATTACTTTGGTACTGATGTTTGAATCCATCTTGTCTGATGATTCCATCGATTCAACAAACTTGATGGATTCATTTTCAGTACCATTAGTAAGCTTAGACGCAGACTTACAACCACGCAGACTTTCAACTCGCTGTAGGTTTAGCATTTGTCGCCTAGAAAAAAATAATCATATAATATTTATACGCATTTCAAACGTCATATCAAACATTATATACTCATTATTCCTTTCAATTTTCAAAAGAAAACTTAAAAAAGATACAATCTTGAAAGTGAGAACAGTTTTTTTCTTATTTTATTGTCAACAAATTATCATATACATTACAATATTATGTTGAAAGTAACCTTGAAAAGTAAATATAACCAGTACATAATATACTTTTCTGGCATTATTGTTACGAACCAGCCCACGTCAGAATAGACGCCTCTGGCATTATTATTATCACCAGCCCACGTCAGAATAGACGCCTCTGGCATTATTATTATCACCAGCCCACGTCAGAATAGACGCCTCTGGCATTATTATTATCACCAGCCCACGTCAGAATAGACGCCTCTGGCATTATTATTATCACCAGCCCACATTGAAGTATGTCTCTGGCATCAATTACTATTAACTAATTATTACGATTAACTAACTGTGTAACTACTATTTATATAAAGTGTTATTTTCATCAATAAATAAGAAAAAAACTGTTCTTCATATTTACTTTAATATGTCATGGATGAACTGGCGGTACACGTTTCTTTTTATCGAAATATAAGATTAATTTAAAAAATTTGTTATTTGCTAAAGAAAAATCACAGAAAAAAAAACCGTTAACTTCACTTTCAATATTTTATACAGGGTGTCCCATTTTAAAAGCTCCACTACATTATTTCTTTAGCAAAGCACTTAAGAAAAAAAAGTTTCAAACAAAAGTTGTTTGGTTCGAAGGAGGACACAAGATGGTGATATTAGTTTGACCCTGAAGAGTCACTTGAAGGTCACATGAAGATCACCTTGAATTTCTTAAATGGAACACTTTATATATTTTTGCATATTTTTGTACTTTATCTCGAGAGCTTTCCAAAACACTATAATTAAGTACCTTTTTGTTAAGTATTTTTTGAGTTATAAGGCTTGAAATAATATCTTAATTTTACATTAATCGTAATATATCTAGTAAAATATTCATTTTTCGATTATCTTGCCTTCATACTTTTATGTACAAAATAATGAGAGAAATCAATTGGTGTAAAAAAAAACACACAGTTGTTTAAAAAAAAAAAAAGAAATTTGCAATTAACAATTACATATTTTTTCTTTGGAACAACTGTGTGTTTTTTTTACATCAATTGATTTCTCTCATTATTTTGTACATAAAAGTTTTAAGGCAAGATAATCGAAAAATGAATATTTTACTAGATATATTACGATTTATGTAAAATTAAGATATTATTTCAAGCCTCATAACTCGAAAAGTACTTAACGAAAAGGTACTTAATTATAGTGTTTTGGAGAGCTCTTGAGATAAGCTACAAGAATATGCAATGAAAAATAGTAGGTTCCATTTTAGAAATTGAAGGTGACCTTTATGTGACCTTCAAATAACTCTTCAAGGTCAAACCAATGGTACTATCTTATGTCCCCCTCCGAATCCTACAACTTTTGTTTGAAATATTTTTTAAGAAAATTCATATTTTACGATATATTTGACCGTTGCCGAACTTTTAGGACACACTGTATGTATACACACACACACACACACACACACACACGTATATACATACATACATACATACATACATACATACATACATATATGGACAGAATAGTAATGGTTGCAGCACTTTTATTATAAAATTTAGGATTACAAGTTAGTAATCATATATCGTATATCGATATATCAAATATCGAAACTTGCTTATATACAGAATGTCCCAAAACTCATAATCAATCTTTCAAAGACAGATTCCTGGAATCATCTGAAGACGATTTTTCCTCAATGAAAATGTCGAGGCACTAATAATTTTCGAATTATAAGTGATTGGAATTAAGGGATTTTCCGTAAATTAAGCTTTGCAAAAATAAAATATTAACAAAACCACATTCTTCAATTAATTTTAAATAGAGTTTACTTTAGTTGAGTTTTAATTAAAGGCTTAATTGCAAAGATATATGATGAAAAAGATAAGGAACACGCAAAAAATGATGGCCTTTATTGACATTTTTGCTGAGGAAAAATCGTCTCCAAATGATACCAGGAATCTGTCTTTGTAAGATTGATTATGAGTTTTGGGACACCCTATATGTGTGTATATATATATGTATATATATATATATATCTTATGATTTTTAAAAATATTTTTAATTTACAAAATTAAAGTTTTATGAATTAAACTATATATATAATATTAAAAATTATAATTGACTTAATAATTTATATATATTTATGTATAATTATTTTGAGAAGTTCAATTTTTATATATAAATTTACAATATATTGGTAGTTTTAATAATATTTAAAATAATAGTTTCGAATATTTCTATAATTATGTATTTAATTTGTAAAATAATAAATTGAAAATTATTTATAGTTTATTATTAAATTTTTATACTTTGTGAAAGGACTTTAGAGTTACCTATAATTTATTTTAATTTAATTTTATATCATGGTAATGAGTTGTATTATTTTTTTAATTTTAGAAAGTTTTAGATAGAACATATGTATGATAAAATTATTTTTTTTATGAATTTTATGATTTATAGTAAAAAAATTATATTTCATTACAATCTTTATTTTTTAATAAGATTGATCTTTTTTTTTAAATTTATATTTACGGATTTAATTTGAATTGGAGTAAGTTTTTTATGAAAATTTGATTTTTATTCAAAAAATAATTTTATCATGAATATGTTCTATTTAAAACTTTCTAAAATTAAAAAAATAATACAACTTATTACCCTGATATCGAATTATATTAAAACTAATAAAGGTAACTCTAAAGTCCTTTCACAAACTATAAAAATTAAATAATAAACTATAAATACTTCTCAATTTATTATTCTATAAATTAAATATATAATAATAGAAATATTCAAAATTATTATTTCAAATATTATCAAAACTACCAATATAAATTTATATATAAAAATTAAACTTATAAAAGTAATTATACATAAATATATATAAATTATTAAGTCAATTATAATTTTTAATGTTATACAATTTAATTAATAAAACTTTAATTTTGTTAATTAAAAATAATAAAATATTTTTAAATTAAAAATAATAAGATATTTTTAAAAATTATAAGATATATATTTTATATATATATATATATATATATATATATATATGCAAGTTTTGATATTTGATATATCGATACACAATATATGATTACTTATTTGTACCTAAATTTTATAATAGAAGTGCAACCATAACTATTCTGCCTACAAGCTTTTATAATTATGCAAAACATACCTTTTTGCCCATCCTTTTTTTCGAGAAATTCGGAGGCGGGAAGGATATTTGTTTTTTAAATCTTCTTTCATTTCGTATTTATTGCTGTAAGAGAATAAAATTAATAATAAATTTAAAATAATAATTTTTTTGAAATACTGTGTGGGCGATTAAAATTAAACGCCCTGTACATAATTATAATATTTCGTAATATCACAAAAAAAATTAGCAATACTTACGAATAAAATTATACAATTACTGAATTGTCTAATTATACAATGTTGTTCGTTGGCTTCTTCGTCACACGACACATATATATGTTACACGTGACAACGTCGGATCGTGCACGTGATAAGCGAGTGTCCGAAACAAGTGCGAACGTGTCTGGAAGATAACCGCAGTGCGCAGTAATATTCCATCCGTCGCATGATGAATACACGTAAGTACACGCTCGTATAAACATTATATTGCTTTATTAGTAGTACTTTTATCAGTAGATACTTTTTATTAGTATAGAAATTTATTAGCTGTTATAATAGTATCATTAGAAACAGTATAAATAACCACGTAAATTATAACAATATTTGTTGGTTAAGTACAGTAATAGTAATAAGACAGTAATTAAAGACTATTTTATAAAATAATCTGTTTAATAGACACATATACGTAAATATTAATTAATGTATATTTGTTTCAGGAAGAAGTGAACCAATGGAGAGAGTTAAAAATGTTCTCTCTCCGATTGCGAAGTCTGAGATAAATCTCCGCAAATCCACTTATAAGACGGTGCCAAAAGCAACGGCGACGATGCAAAAGATTACGCAAAATTCAACGGAGTCAAAGACACCAGAGTCAACTAAATACGACGGCGACAATACGACAATGCAAAGAGCTAGTGTTTCAGAGTCGATGTCATCAGGGGCAACGACGTATGAAATAAAGGAAAATATACATACAAATATGAAAGTAAGTAACTGCATATTTAATTATTGCATATTTTTCCTTTTACTGCATGCAGATCATAAACAGATTAACATAGACTGCTCATAAGGTAGCGAAGAGTGTCCTCCTGAGAGAAAAAGATGATAGCATGAAGTTTATTTGTGTTTCTATCTTTTTCTGGTGTACGCGTGTTGCAATTTCAAGTTAAAAGTCAATAACTTGAAATTGCATCACGCATGTGTCAGAAAAAGATACACAAATTAATTAATGCTATCCTTTTCTCTCAGGAGGATATTCTTCGCTACCTTATAAACAATCTATGTAAATATGTCTATGATGCAGGTATAAATAATACTTGGATTTTTAAAATTTGTGAGAAAAGAGAATATGATAGAGAGAATATTATATTTAGAGATGTCCAAACTTTTATTAAAATATTGATAGGTATAGTCTCTCAGTTCTAAATATTTAAAAATATAATTAGAATATATTTATTATAATATTTATCTGTTATTATTTGTGCTTCATTTATTTAATATTCGTACTAAATCTTTTATTCTGTTTAGTTATATAATTATAAACTAATATTATTATTAATTCTTAAGATCATGATCCCAAAGATCATCATCTAAATATCAATGACTTTTTTTTATGAATAATCTTGTTTTATGTATGTTTCTTTCAGTTGCACTTTTCCTGCATTATGTCACCATTTATTCTCTTTTACTATATTTATTATAAGTTTATTATAAGTTGACTCGAATTATACATATAAATGCATTAGGTTGATTTGTAAATTTTATTTGTTCCTATTATTTAAAATAAAATGAATTAGCGTCTCTCTTTTTCTTTTGATCACTATTTTATAGTATTGTAGTATGAATGAATTCAGCAGAGAAAAATCGCATAGTAGCAATTCAACGTAATCGGTTTCTTTCAAATCTAACAATCAACGTCGAACATCGAAAGAATATGACAACAATTTTCTCTGCTGAACGCGATCCATGCAGGCAAACTATTTTGTTTTACTTTTATCTAAAAACAATAGAAATATTTAATCGCTAATTTAATGATTATAAGAAAAAGGCTGTGTTTTTTTTTATACATGTACTAGTGATAATACAGCACAATGTAAATATATATGTATTGCTACACATATTTTAGTACTGCCACCGGCGTAGTTTTAAAAGTTCCACCGATGCGGACTCTGCCACCCAAGAGTGACAGTCCCAGCACCCATCGGCGTAGATTTAAAAGTTCCACCGATGCGGACTCTGCCACCCAAGAGTGACAGTCCCAGCACCCACCGGCGTAGTTTTAAAAGTTCCACCGATGCGGACTCTGCCACCCAAGAGTGACAGTCCCAGCACCCACTGGCGTAGTTTTAAAAGTTCCACCGATGCGGACTCTGCCACCCAAGAGTGACAGTCCCAGCACCCATCGGCGTAGATTTAAAAGTTCCACCGATGCGGACTCTGCCACCCAAGAGTGACAGTCCCAGCACCCACCGGCGTAGTTTTAAAAGTTCCACCGATGCGGACTCTGCCACCCAAGAGTGACAGTCCCAGCACCCACCGGCGTAGTTTTAAAAGTTCCACCGATGCGGACTCTGCCACCCAAGAGTGACAGTCCCAGCACCCATCGGCGTAGATTTAAAAGTTCCACCGATGTGGACTCTGCTACCCAACATATGGCAGTACTAAAATATGTGTAGCAATACATATATACACATGTATTACATATATATTTACATATGTATGCATATAAGAGGCTAAGACAGCATCAACTAAATACGACGGCGATTGCAAAGAGCTAGTGTTACAGAGTCGATGTCATCAGGGGCGACGTATGAAATAAAAGAAAACGATGTATGAAATAAAAGAAAATGTACATACAAATATGAAAGTAAGTAACTGCATATTTAATTATTGCATACTTTTCTTTTTACTGCATGCAGATCATAGACATAACATAGACTGCTCATAAGGTAGCGAAGAGTGTCCTCCTGAGAGAAAAAAATGATAGCATGAAGTTTATTTGTATTTCTATCTTTTTCTGGTGTACGCGTGATGCAATTTCAAGTTAAAAGTCAATAACTTGAAATTGCATCACGCATGTGTGTCAGAAAAAAACAGATACACAAATTAATTAATGCTATCCTTTTCTCTCAGGAGGATATTCTTCGCTACCTTATAAACAATCTATGTAAATATGTCTATGATGCAGGTATAAATAATACTTGGATTTTTAAAATTTGTGAGAAAAGAGAATATGATAGAGAGAATATTATATTAGAGATGTCCAAACTTTTATTAAAATATTGATAGGTATAGTCTCTCAGTTCTAAATATTTAAAAATATAATTAGAATATATTTATTATAATATTTATCTGTTATTATTTGTAATCTGAAAATCTATTGTAATTATAACATTTTTCATTTATTCTTGTAATTCATATTTATTTTTCATTACTAATTTGATATATGATACGCTAAGACATTTTATGTTTTTAGACTATAAAAACGTATTTTCTTGTCTTATTCTTGTCTTTCTATTGTCTTATTTTATATTTTATATTTCAGAGAATTAATCAAGTCGTGCGTCGGGAAGTCGCCAAGGAAAGGAAGAAATTAAAAAAAGAAGAATATCAAAGACGCAAAGCGCAATACAGGACACGTATTCCTGCACCACCTGTGTATGTGGCACCATCGCCAATACCATCGTTTTACGTACCGAGTTACGCACCATCGGCTTATGCAGCGCCGTTTATGTGCGCACCACCGCCTTTTGCTGCACTGGCTCACCCACAACCACCGCCTTACGGAGCACCGACTCATCCGCAACCACCGCCTTACGGAACGCCTTCGAACGTAATATTTTCTTCTCCTTACGCGCATATGTATAGACCTTTTTAAAATCGATTTTTGCGTTTAAATTTTATTACTAGAAAAAAATTTTAAATTTCATTTTATGGATTTTTTTTATGGATAAACTTTTATTGCTAACATATTTTGATAAAAAAATAATTATTTTTCAGTTGCATTTTCTTCTAAAATTTACAATTTTGGCTAGTCTTTTAACTTGAAATTGCATCTACAGATTAATCATTTTGACGAATATAAATATGATATAAATCACAATTTTCTTTCAAATAATTTTCTGTCTGACTTGCTGTTCTTTAAACACATATTTAAATTGCGCGATTGTTTCATCTATATGCACGACTTGATTAATTTTCTGAAATACAATAAGAACATACGTTTTTATAGTCTAAAAACATAAAATGTCTTAGCGTCATATATCAAATTAGTAATGAAAAATAAATATGAATTAAAAGAATAAATGAAAAATGTTATAATTACAATAGATTTTCAGATTACAAATAATAACAGATAAATATTATAGTAAATATATTCTAATTATATTTTTAAATATTTAGAACTGAGAGACTATACCTATCAATATTTTAATAAAAGTTTGGACATCTCTAATATAATATTCTCTCTATCATATTCTCTTTTTTCACAAATTTTAAAAATCCAAGTATTATTTATACCTGCATCATAGACATATTTACATAGACTGTTCATAAGATAGCGAAGAATATCCTCCTGAGAGAAAAGGATAGCATTAATTAATTTGTGTATCTGTTTTTTTCTGACACACATGCGTGATGCAATTTCAAGTTATTGACTTTTAACTTGAAATTGCATCACGCGTACACCAGAAAAAGATAGAAATACAAATAAACTTCATGCTATCATTTTTTTCTCTCAGGAGGACACTCTTCGCTACCTTATGAGCAGTCTATGTTATGTCTATGATCTGCATGCAGTAAAAAGAAAAGTATGCAATAATTAAATATGCAGTTACTTACTTTCATATTTGTATGTACATTTTCTTTTATTTCATACATCGTTTTCTTTTATTTCATACGTCGCCCCTGATGACATCGACTCTGTAACACTAGCTCTTTGCAATCGCCGTCGTATTTAGTTGATGCTGTCTTAGCCTCTTATATGCATACATATGTAAATATATATGTAATACATGTGTATATATGTATTGCTACACATATTTTAGTACTGCCATATGTTGGGTAGCAGAGTCCGCATCGGTGGAACTTTTAAATCTACGCCGATGGGTGCTGGGACTGTCACTCTTGGGTGGCAGAGTCCGCATCGGTGGAACTTTTAAAACTACGCCGGTGGGTGCTGGGACTGTCACTCTTGGGTGGCAGAGTCCGCATCGGTGGAACTTTTAAAACTACGCCGGTGGGTGCTGGGACTGTCACTCTTGGGTGGCAGAGTCCGCATCGGTGGAACTTTTAAAACTACGCCGGTGGGTGCTGGGACTGTCACTCTTGGGTGGCAGAGTCCGCATCGGTGGAACTTTTAAATCTACGCCGATGGGTGCTGGGACTGTCACTCTTGGGTGGCAGAGTCCGCATCGGTGGAACTTTTAAAACTACGCCAGTGGGTGCTGGGACTGTCACTCTTGGGTGGCAGAGTCCGCATCGGTGGAACTTTTAAAACTACGCCGGTGGGTGCTGGGACTGTCACTCTTGGGTGGCAGAGTCCGCATCGGTGGAACTTTTAAATCTACGCCGATGGGTGCTGGGACTGTCACTCTTGGGTGGCAGAGTCCGCATCGGTGGAACTTTTAAAACTACGCCGGTGGCAGTACTAAAATATGTGTAGCAATACATATATATTTACATTGTGCTGTATTATCACTAGTACATGTATAAAAAAAAAACACAGCCTTTTTCTTATAATCATTAAATTAGCGATTAAATATTTCTATTGTTTTTAGATAAAAGTAAAACAAAATAGTTTGCCTGCATGGATCGCGTTCAGCAGAGAAAATTGTTGTCATATTCTTTCGATGTTCGACGTTGATTGTTAGATTTGAAAGAAACCGATTACGTTGAATTGCTACTAAGCGATTTTTCTCTGCTGAATTCATTCATAATACAATACTATAAAATAGTGATCAAAAGAAAAAGAGAGACGCTAATTCATTTTATTTTAAATAATAGGAACAAATAAAATTTACAAATCAACCTAATGCATTTATATGTATAATTCGAGTCAACTTATAATAAACTTATAATAAATATAGTAAAAGAGAATAAATGGTGACATAATGCAGGAAAAGTGCAACTGAAAGAAACATACATAAAACAAGATTATTCATAAAAAAAAAGTCATTGATATTTAGATGATGATCTTTGGGATCATGATCTTAAGAATTAATAATAATATTAGTTTATAATTATATAACTAAACAGAATAAAAGATTTAGTACGAATATTAAATAAATGAAGCACTTCTTCCTTTTCTGTAAAAAAAAGAAGAAATGAAAAAGAAGAATTTCATGAAAAAATGAATATTGAAAAAACTACAAAGTATTGTATGCGATATTATGTTTAGTTTCATTACCGTATAAATTTTTATTTTCGTTTCATTACTTTATTAAGTTTTTATTTTGATATTTGTCATTTCTCCATTATCTGTATGATTTAAATATAATTTTTACTGTGCCATATATAAAATGTTTATTTTTTCATAATAAAGATTTAGATAAGTTATTATAAGTAATTATTATTTATAATATTTTGCAGTCCTTTTGTTTTCTTTAAAAATTCTAAATCTTTATTATGAAAAAATAAACATTTTATATATGGCTGGTATTTAATGTACGGTGCGTTATTCTGTACAAGTACAATAAAAATTATATTTAATTTTATAAGTAATTATAAGTTATATAAATAAGTAATTTTACGTTATTATAAGTAATTATATAATAATTACTTATAATAACTCACAATATAATACTTTGCAGTCTTTTTGTTTTCTTTAAAAATTCTAAATCTTCATTATGAAAAAATAAACATTTTATATATGGCTAGTGTTTAATGTACGATGCGTTATTTTGTACAAATACAGTAAAAATTATATTTAATTTTATAAATAATTATAAGTTATATAAATAAGTAATTGTAAGTTATTATAAGTAATTATATAATTACTTATAATAATGTATAATATTTTGCAGTCTTTTTGTTTTCTTTAAAAATTCTAAATCTTCATTATGAAAAAATAAACATTTTATATATGGCTAGTGTTTAATGTACGATGCGTTATTTTGTACAAATACAGTAAAAATTATATTTAATTTTATAAATAATTATAAGTTATATAAATAAGTAATTGTAAGTTATTATAAGTAATTATATAATTACTTATAATAATGTATAATATTTTGCAGTCTTTTTGTTTTCTTTAAAAATTCTAAATCTTCATTATGAAAAAATAAACTTTTTATATATGGTTAGTGTTTAATGTAGAGTGTTATTCTGTACAAGTACAGTAAAAATTGTGTTTAATTTTATAAGTAATTATAAGTTATATAAATAAGTAGTTATAAGTTTTTATAAGTAATATAATAATTACTTATAAATAATAACTTATATACTGGTACTAATATACAATAACAACTTTGTATATATTGAAATATATGCATATATATAATATATGAATAAATATATTGTGTAAATAATTATAAAGATACACAAAGCATATTCTTTTCTCCCTATCCTTTGTCTCCATATCTCCTAAATATAAAAACACTCCTCAATATAGAAACACTAAATATTATTAATAATAATTAAAATATTTTGAAAAAAAATAAAAATAGTATAATAATAATTATAATTATTCTTTCATGTTTATGTTAAATATTATTTATTAAAATTAATGCTTTTTCATTTTCAATTTCATCCTTATGTTATATATTATTTATTAAAATTAATGTTTTTTCATTTTCAAATTCAAGTTTATATTAAATATTATTATTTAAATTATTGTTTTTTCATTTTCAAATTTTTCTTTATGTTAAATATTATTTAAAATTAAAATATACTTATTCAAAATATTCTTATTATCAATTAAAATATACTTATTTTTCAAATGTAGAACTACGTTCAATTATATGTGCATACGTATATACAAGATCACAAGTGATGTATGTGATTTATGTCGATTGTTGTGAACAAATAATCTAGTTGTTTATTGTTCAATATAACTTATACAAATAGAGAGAGAGAGATGGAGATGGAGATGGAACATCTTCTATCGTAATATCCTGGAACTAATTTGTTGCTATTTTTTACTCCACTTTACCTACACTCACGCATACATACACACGAATCGTTCTACATACTATACTTTTATATTTAACTTCTAATTTCGATTTCAAAGGTTCAACAATGTTTTTTCGTATAATTCGATCCAAGCAAACTTGTTTTTACGATCATACAAACTATATAGCTTTTATATGAAGTACATATTATGACGAGTTGACAGTTCGTTTACAATTCGAGACGCCATATTAGGATAAAATGGATAAGGAAAACTGTAATTTTATAATTATTTCTCGTTTTTCATATAAAATCGGAGTTTCCTAGGATTATTTATGTATGTATTGCAATCCTACATAAATATTTTCAATTCTGTCAAATTATTGCGACAAAAGACCAGAACTACGAAAATGGTAATTTTGTCGATAATACAGTCGAGTACAGCATCCCCTTAAGAAATATTGTTTTAAATATGTGTAAAATCATGTATAAATTTGCGTAAAACTAAAAAAATTTTTTTAAAAATAAAAAATTCAATTTGAGCTAAAAATGACGGCAAATTTCTTCATACTTTGACATAAGAAACAACTGTAAAAAGTTTGAAAAAAGTCGGCGTCTGACATTCCCCGAGGTTTACTTGTTAGACCTGTCAATGTTTGAAAAAGGATGTACACAATTGTTGTATTTTTGTTTCAAATTGTTAAACTTCTTGATCGAGTTGTTTTTTATACTATAGTCAAAGGAGGTGAGTCTCTGTCTATTTAGTTCAAAAAAATTAGTTACTAAATCATGTGGTAAGCATTCAAAAAGATGTTTTTCAATGTCTTTGATTTTGTTATATAGGTACCTTAAATTAATGTTTTGATCTTCGATCTCAAAGTTCAACAACTTATATTGATTATCTTTCTTAAATTTATCAAATTTGCGTTTGATGCTATTACTACGAAACGTGACGCTAATTTTTATTTATTTACTTACGTCCCCAAAGATTTAGTTATAAACGCCATAAAAAAGCGCTGGGACGATATTGCAAAAAACACTAAATTTAATTTATCTCAATTTTTATTTGCAATAGAAATGATTTTAGACTCAACTTGCTTTTCATTCAACGGACGTTTTTATGAACAGATCTTCGGCACTCCTATGGGTTCTCCGCTGTCACCTATTCTGGCTGATATGGTGATGGATGATCTTGAGACACAATGCTTAGACTCATTGGATTTTACTGTTCTCACTTACTATAGATTTATAGACGATGTTTTTGCAATAGTGCCACGTAAGGGAATGGAAAAAATTTTAATGAATTTTAATAATTACCATGAGCGATTGAGATTCACTTACGAGATGGAAGTTCCCAGATAGCACAAAGGTGAACATAAGTTCATAGAGAAATCATTTTAAAGAATACTTGTAGAATTATAAAAATGAATATCTGAAGAATTCTTGAAGAATTATTCATAATCAGTTCGTCTTGAAATATTCTTTATAAGTTCATTTTAATGAATACTTTGCGACAGTACTATGAATACTTTGAGAATTTATAAGGAATTACTTGTTATTTTTCCACGCATATATGCGCGAGACTATGTGTGTTCGGTTCGGACTTTATCTTGTAATTTCGTGCAGTATGCAGTGTGCTACATGTATTTTGCAATAAAAAGGTGGTAATATATTTATATATATTATATCAGACTACAAAAATACAGTGCTACATAATTATATTAATAATTGGGTGTTATTGAATGGTAAGTATTAGTTGAACTAAATATATTTCTACTACCTAATCTCGAAATAAACGCATGCAGTCTTTATTTTTGTTGTTTATTCATTCAGTAAACAAGCTGTTTTAGTTGGTTTGCCAACAGAGTCAATCAAAATCTCTATCTATTGATAAATTTGGATAAATATTTGTCTGCATGCAGTTCATGTTTTTTCAACAGGCGATTTCTGATTATATGAATACAAACTTCTATTATATGTTCATATATTACTTTTATATATTAATTTTATATAGAATGTCTTATTCCTGTAGTCTTTCTAATGTATAATATAATGTTATATAATTTCATACATATATTTTATTACAGATTTATCAGTCATGTATCACAATAAAAGTTTTAGACGAAACTGAAGAATAACCAACTATTATAAAAAATAAAAGTAAGTTGTATTTATGTGCATTTAATTTTGCATTTTAAGTAATAATAAATGAAAATGAAGCGTCAAGTAAAACCATTTAACGAATTATCAAGATGGCAACGAAATAGACGTTTACATCAAATAAGTATAGAATCAGATATTTTTGAAAATTATAATATTGAAGAAGAAAGTAATATTAATATAGTCATCCCAACTGAAGAAGAAATCATTGAGGAATGTCAAATAGAAAATCCTTCTATTCCATCACAATGTACAGACTTTAATGAAATTTTACAGTATTCCAGCAGCGATTCAAATAATTCTAATATTGAAGAAGTTGATTTAACTGAAAATATAGTGGATAATAATTATGAAACAATCAACATAACAGATCGTAACGAAACATTTGCATTAGAATTACAATTTTGGGCTATTTCAAATAATATTTCCAATAATGCTCTGTCAAAATTATTAACATTATATAAAAAATATCACCCTAATGAAAATATTCCAAGTGATGCTCGAGTTTTCCTACATACACTGAAAGAATGTGTCAGTGTAACACAATGTAAACCATGTGGTAATGGAGAATTTCTATATTTCGGTCTTCAAAAAGTTTTACTTAAATATTGTAGACAAAATACACTTCATTTCAATAATTTTATAATAATTGATATAAACATTGATGGATTGCCAATTTCTGAAAGTACTAACAAGAAATTATGGCCAATTCAAGGTAAAATCATTAATGTAGACCAGCCTTTTATTATTGGAATTTATCACGGCATGTCAAAACCTTCATCTGTTGAAGAATTTTTAAATGAATTTGTCGATGAATACTGTATTTTACGAGATCAAGGTTTTGAATGGAATGGTAACCATTATTTTGTTAGAATTAGAGCTGTCATCTGTGTCTCTCCAGCTCGTTCATTTGTTAAATGCATAAAATATTGTATTGGTTATAATGGATGTGAACGTTGTATAATAAAAGGGGACTACATTAATACAGAAAGTAATATTTGTAGATTGTTGTGAACGAAGAACTGATCACAGTTTTAAAAATAAACTTGATCCTAAGCATCATACCGGAATTTCTCCATTAGAGAGATTTGGAATTGGAATGGTCAGTGCTTTTCCACTAGATTATATGCATTTAGTTTTACTTGGAATAATGAAAAGATTGTTATTATTGTGGACAAAAGGTATCAAAGAATGTCGCATTAGCGGTCATAATTATAAAGTACTTAACGAGCGGTTACGTTTAAATCAAAAGTTACCCTCAGAAATATCGAGAAAACCGAGATCAAACTTGAATCAATTTCATAGGTGGAAAGCCACGGAATTTCGTTTTTTTCTGTTATATTTCGCTCCATTCATTTTGTATGATGTTTTACCAAATAATTATATTCTACATTTTTCTGCTCTTCATTGCGCAATTAGAATTTTATGCGATCCCTTAAACTGCATACGTAACAAAGAATATGCTACAAAATTATTGATGTGGTTTGCAAAATTTTAAATGTCTATATGGTACAGAAAATTGTGTATATACCGTACATAATTTAATACATCTTGCTGATGATGTAGGTACATTTCAAGCATCACTAGATAATTTGAGTTGTTTTCCGTTTGAAAATGAAATGAAGAAGATAAAGAGATACTTACGCAAACATGATAAACCATTATCACAACTTTACAAACGAATATCGGAAGAAATCTTTGTTTCAAATGTTAAAACTTTGGAAAAGAAGACGTATCCAATATTAATACATAAAAATAAGACAAAATTAGCTATTCCATTTTGTAATGATGGTTCTTATGAAGGATTACTTTTTGAAAAGATCACATTACGTACAACAGCACCAAATAATATATGTTATTTAAAAGATGGCAGTATATATAATATAAAATATATCGCAACATTAAATTCGGAAATTTTTTGCATAGGATATAAAATGATAGTTTCTGATGTATCCATTTATCCACTAGAATTTAATAAATTAGGTGTATATTTGATAAAAAGTGAAAGTAAAATATTAGAGAGATTTACAATCAATCATATCAAAGGAAAAGGTATAAAAATAATGTTACAAAATTCCGCATTTGTATTACCACTTTTACATTTCTCATTTTGATTTCTTTAATTTGTATTGAACAAACATTATATGTAATATTCTGAATTAATATTCTCTTCCCTTATGGTTGAAACCATATATTGTTAATTTATCATTAAATTTGTAACGGGCGTTCGCCGTCAGAGTCGCGGATAACTGCAGTCGTGTTTCCCAGGATCGGGTAGGCAAGCGTAATAAAAAAAAAGATACGCGTGGTAGTTTAAGTAATATACACATATATTTGCGGGTGACGAGATACAATTGTGTCGGTGTGTGTGTGTATGTGGGTAACGGTGTGCGCACGTGAAATTCCTTGCGCGCGAAACGCGACCGCCGCCGGGTTTCTTTTGCGCGATCGCTGTATCGCCGGATTAAATGCCGTTGGAAAACAGCAGCGTTTATTAGCGTTCGGGGGCACCGCGGAATGATGCGCTTCCGGGGGGTGTTACAGTGTTAAAACGCGGTTCGGATGCGGCAAGTCCGGTTTGGAACGGTCGTGTGGTTTCGGCGCAATCCGTTATTTTTGGCAACGGGAGAATTATAATATGATTTTGCTCGCGGTGCGGTCGATGACCGCGTGACGTAAGCGGCGCGTGTTTATGGTTTTTGTCGTCGCGCTTTTTCGCTCCCCGATGTTCGTAGAATCGGGCCGTATTTTCCCCGTATGGTGTGGTCGGGATTTCCGGGATAGTCGGTTCTTAGCGGGAACAACCGCTGGGGGCAGCTCTTTTCTCTACCTCCGTATGAACCGACGGGACGAGGATGGATGCTGTGCGTGTACCGAGATCTCCCGGTTAAATCGGGGTGCGCCCCAATTTAGTGTGCACGCGGAGAGAGAACAAAAAAATGGATTTGTCTATTTGGTCGGACCCCTGAGATCTCCCAGGCGTGGTGGAGAGCACCCCACCGCTTGGTCTTGAAACTTGTAGGCGGATATCGGATAGCTATCTTTTGCGACTGTTCGCTCGAGAAGCTCGGAATAAAAAGGGTGCTTATGGTTGATGGGTCGCCCTTTTTATACTGGGCTAATTAGCCCGCGCCGGCGTACATTAGACTCACCCTCACCGAGCGGTCGGGAAAACGGAACGGCGTGAGTCCCGCTCGTAGGAGCGCGGCGGAGCCGGGCGCGGGGAGATCTAACTCCTTCGCTCGGTACTTGTCGGCCGTTTTCGACGTGCTTCGCCGATTCGGCCCGGCTTGATTTTAAGCCGTTGTGGCGGTTAAAAATGTGGCGCTATGCGCCCTGCCTTTTGCCCGGCGGTGTTCTGCCGGGCGGCAGCTTCCAGCTCGCATGCTGGGAATTAATTAGGGGGGTGCAAGGGTGCATCGTTATAAATTTTTTATTTGCTTTCCTATTTTTTTAAGTCTATATGTGTGTGGGTGTGTCTGTGTCTGTGTGTGTGTGTGTGCGAACGTGCGTGCGTGCGTGCGTGTGTGTGTGGGCGTGTGTGTGTACGTGAGTGTGTGCGTGTGTGTGCGCGCGCGCACCTCTTATTTTATATGTCCTTATTATGAGAAGAAAAAGAATATTTGATAGTAATAATAAAGAGTTAATTAGATGAAAGAATAAATTAGAAATTCATAATTTACATAAGCGATTATCGATATATCTACATATCTACAATACACATATGTGATAATCAGAATAGTTATTCTTTTCACCCTCCCTTCTTTCCAAATGAATTACTGTTATATTCTTTTATTTAAAAAATAAATCTTTAAAAAGTAACTTGTTACTGGTGGTAATTAATAACATTCATTAAATTTTTTTAATTATTGTATAATACTGCAATAAGATTAAATTAAACATGAGATATTTATACTTGTATATAATTATTTTATTTTGTGTTTTTATTACTTTATAAATAATACTAAACTAAGTAATAAAATTATTAGTAATTTTCTTTAGTAAATTTTTTTTGCATATTATATTCAGTAAATTTATATATATTTATTGTCTATGTGTATAAAGATGATATAAAATAAATAAATGGTTATAGATGTTTTATGTTGTTCATGTTGACAATTGGTTTCAATCTATCCCAGAAAACTGGTTAGATAAAGAAAAAAAAATTGTCTATTGGCCTACTGAAAAAATTCCATAATTAC